GATACCAAGCAACTATAAAACATGAAATAAAATAGTAAATGTCTCTGCAATGCTTTAGGACAAATTTAGTAGAGAAGCGTAGACATCACCAACCGGGGATTATCTGACTCAGTAATCGGGCTACAGTACAACTGCAGTCTCTAGACCAGGCCATAAAAAACAGTCCAGATCCATATGCAATGCCTGTGCAACTCCTTGTTACTTGAGATCGTGTATATTCTGCTGCCATCTATATGGCCACAATGCCACAGCTCCCCGTAATCTCGATCCTGGCCCTGAATGGGAGCCAAAGATGGGCTGGAGATGTAAGTGACAGAAGCCTGCAACTTTCTCATTGCTAGAATGCTGACATATGGTGTTGAACTTAGCATAGAAGGTATCTCTCCATTGCTGGTTCTTCAGGCATTCTTGACTTGCCGGAACTCTAGCTTGGCAGCCATCTAAACAGCGCAGCGTGGTTTGTTCAACTTCAGCTATCGATCCGCTGTATGTAGGCTAGTGGATTTAGTGGGGACCAGATATCCCCGCAGGGCCAAAGGGGGCAGAATTAGTAAAGGGGCTCTGGATAGTCAGCTGTACGGTTCACAATCAGCAGCAGGAGATCAGACAAAATTCATATACTATTAACCTATTCCTATTAACTTTTTGAGTTAATTTTCTCTTATCACATTCTATTTTATTATTTTAAGAGGAAGATGTATCCCTAACTCCACGTATGTATCCCACAGTTGTGAGAGAATAGGTTAATTTCACATTCTAGAATATTTTTTTCTAACCCTTTAACATCCCTCCCACCTCCCCCACATAGGCATTATTAAGTTATTTTGCTTTATATTACAGACTTTATCTATTCTCTGAATATTTGCATTATATGTCACTGGCAACACGTTCTGCTAGTTGAAGACAAAATACACTAGTTATCTTTTACTAGTTGCCTTCACAAGTATGATATATCAGTACTGTCACCTTTTCATAATATATTGTGTGTCTTTTTTTTTATATTGTTTGTCTTTATTTATTGAGTGCATGTCGTTTTGAGTTAATAGTGACAGATGAGTAATATATCACTATATTCATCTGAGAGATATGCGAATGAGCTACTCTTTATTTAATGTCCTCCAGGATGAGAAACGGGAGAATTTTGCTGATGCCAGAAAGGGCTAGATTTAATTAAATGCTTTATAACTAAATAACCTTCATTTCCTGAGCATGTATTATTGAATATTGTGTACATATATATTCCATATGATTGCTTCTTTGGTGCTTAAAAGGGAAACTATGGTCAATAATGTGATGATTATATGACCATACATGGTAAGGGCACGGCCTATATAGAGGTCATGGTAAGGTAGACTTAGAACACCAGGAGGCATTTAGAGGTCATGGCATTTTAAGGTAGACGTAGAACACCAGCAGCAAGTAAAAAACCTTGATTGTAGACTTCTATCTTTTTATTTTAAATGGATCATTTGCTCTACAGTTTGTAGGGAGAGAATGCCAATTTAATGAGGAGGGCTCATGTACTAGCTATATACTAGTTTGGGCACTTTTGTTTTTTTTTCATATTTCAAATTTTATATTTCATATTTCATATTTTTCTGTACTTGAGAGATAATTGAGTTGTAACTTTCCTGACTGTTAGGAAAGTGCTTGCCTGAAATAAAGATATTTACTCCCAGCATTCAGTCTCGACTAACGTATGGGGGGGGGGGTGAAAGGTGATACCAGCGATATTTACTTTTATGATTGACAGAGCTACGTTACTTTGGGAAAGAGAGTCCACGGCAGCGATATGCTGGAGGTCCGCAACAGTGTGAACTTCAAATTCTGCATTGCTTTACAATAATAGAAAGAGGGAGATTTAACAACAAATAAGACAAACTATTACATATTTTAAAAGAAACAATAAGTTTATGAAGTCTCTGCTTAAACAAGCTAAAAAAAAACGAAAGGAGATTCGGTATAAAAACACAATAGGACATAATGGGGGTTAGTAACCAAATGTGATGGGAAAAAAACACAGCTGGGAGTTGAGAGTAAAGTGTAGTTGCACCTATTTATTAAAGGGGCACTATAGTCCCCAGAGCCACTATAACTTAATGTAGTGGTTCTGGTGTCTATGACCTGTCCCGGCAAATTTCTCAATGTAAACTCTCTTGCAAAATCTAACACACACACACACAAATAAATCTGTACATAAATAAAAACAACATATTTGTCCAATTCACTCATTCTAACCTGCCTCTTACTTCTACGCTCACCCAGGCAATAAGCATGTTTGAACTTTCCCAATCCAACTAAAATTGCAAGGGTATGTTGCTGTCCAAATATTTGATATCACATATTATCTGATGTTTTCATGCACTCTATAACCTTACTGTAAATGTGAAACTCAATGTAAAGGCTTAATGAAGTCTTGAAACATGCATAACTGTATGCTTTATTTGACCTTTGAACTAACATGATCGAACAACTTTCCTTTCATCAAGTTGAAGGTAAGGCACTTACTGCTGAAAAAAATACCATCTAGTTTAAACCGCAGTGTCATTTTCCGCTCACTGATTTTTAGGGAAAATAAATCTGTCATGCCAAGCGTGACAACAAGAGGTGTCAAAATGATGAAATTCAACTTCCTTCATGCCGGATTGCACACAAGAACCATGGAATAGATAGCTTGATTATTGTTTTGCGCAAGTGGATGCAGAAGATAATGCTAGGGCTTCTGTGCTTACAAACAGGTAGGATGTGTCTCTCGTTGTCAGATGCTGGGAAGGAGCGTTTATTATGACTTGTGTCGTAGCTGTCCTTTGCTGACTGCTCTCTTTATAAAGAAACTGGCGAACAGGTTTACCGTCTTAGATGGAAATATAAGCATTGCAGGGCACAACCTGGATGCATTATTGATATTTCTTGTGCTTTTGAAATTTCACATTTTTTCACAACTACAGAAAATTCTAAAAGTCATTGAATCAATATTAATGGCTTGAAGATGAAAAGAGTCAAGATAGATGGAACACTCACTTAAAATTAAACTATAAAAGTTGTAATGTATACATCTTTCACTCTTTTTTTATTATTTACCAAGCTTTTCTCATATATATATATATATATATATATATAAAAATTATATAGGAAATAAGGCTTGCACTCACGGTCTGTAGTAATGATAAAATATTTCTTCTTTATTAGAATATTCTTAAAACATGTCTGTTATCATCGACGTTTCAGCCATCGTTCGTGGCTTTCATCAGGATCAGTTCAGTACAAATAATACATTTACAAACATCAGCATTTAAATAGCTAAACAGACTAATTATTAAATCTAAAAAACACTCACCACCTGTGTTACCGATCGCCCGGCGTCTCTCGCCATGTTGTGCGCATGCGCGAACACGCCGACACCCGGAAGTGGCGTGCTCGCGTCATCATCTGTTGCCTGGGTTACCCGCTATGTTTACAGGCTCCCCAGCCGCACAGTAATCTTAGAGAGCGCTCGGGTAGATGGCGACACACTTGGATTAAAACATCATAACAGTATATATATTTCATCCACAGATATACATGTCAAGGCATAATTTAGGCACACCTCCTAATAAGATAATTACAGTGCATAATTTCAATGTCTAGTATAATTGAAGTATAATTAAAGGGCTACAATATATAGAGGTACCTTATCTATCACCTAAACAAAGCATATGGATATTAACTATATCCATCTACACTAATATAGATACAATTATAGCTGAAAGCCTACTCAAATATTATAATGACAATAAATTGCCACATAAGTATATATTAAAGTACTATCTCTACACTTAAAGGAATATTATGTACAAAAAAGTGCCAAGTGCAATTATATACAACAGTGCCGCTATGTCATTCAAAGTGATACTCAGTGCTATTATGTACAACAAAGTGCATAATGCTGTACTAAAGTGAACAAAAGTCTTAAAGTGATACTCATAGCAGGTAAAAATGTTTTGTCTCTATATTTACAGTGAAGTGTGTGATAACACAAATGGCAATATGTATAATATATATACATACTGCTCAATGCTGAGTGCTAATATGTACTAAACATTACAGTGACCTATGTGTTTACTGTAAAGTGCATAGATTAATGTATAAAGTGATACTCATTGCTCCTATGTACAGTTAAAGTGCATACTGTGTATATTAAAATCCTTATCAATATTAATTAGTACCAGTGACGGTGGTGCTCATATGTATAACATAATAAATATGTGTAATTGATATACATCGATGTTCACCTTATATACATGTCATAATTACCGTGAATCTATAGATAAGTATAACGTATCTCTAATTGAGGATAGATAACAAGTTACCAAATTCCCTTAAAACATATAATACCTGTGGATGTTCAAATTACTAAAACATTTCTAAACTCAAGAAAGCTTCATTGTATTACACCATCACTCAAACAAAAGGGGTATAGGTTAACATTTCATTTAAACCCCGGGGTGCCACTGTATCCAATTCATGGATCCAGAATGTTTCCCTCCGTAATAGGGTATTTCCTCTGTTACCACCTCTTCTAGGTACTGGTATGTGGTCTATTGCTACAAATTTTAATGTAGCCAAAGGATGTTTATGGTCCAAAAAGTGCTTGGCCACAGGCTTGTCTGAAGTTCCATCCCTGACCGCAATTCTGATATTCGACCTATGTTGTCTAATCCTTTCACAAAGTTGAGTCTCTGTCTTGCCAATATAACACAAGCCACAAGGACATGATAACTTGTATATAACAAACATGGATTTACAAGTAATTGTATATCTTATCTTGTAACTCTTATTCTTATGTGGATGGGTGAATGTTCGTGCAGACACCATATGTCCGCACGTAACACATCCCAAGCAACGAACACATCCACGTACTTGCAGGTTCTGTTGTCTGGCATAACTATCTACTGGGTCGGTTTTCATTAATATGTCCTTTAAATTCTTATTCCTCCGGAAACATATCATTGGAGGCTCTCTAAATTCGCTGGGTAAAGTGTGTTCCATTGCCAACATGTTCCAATTCTTCTTAACTATATTCGAAACTTTATGTGCTTGATTATGGAATGTAATAGGGAAGACCAACGCTGGCCTCTTGATGGGATTTTGGGGCTTGGTTGCTTTTACATATGCTTTTTCCAATGCTCTCTCCAAAACTCTTAACCCATACCCCCGTTCCAAAAATCTTTCTTGCATTTGCTTTAGTTGTTGTTGTTTCACACTTTCATTCGAGTTATTTCTCATAACTCTAAGAAATTGGGCCTGTGGAATAGAATTCTTTAAATTTCTCGGATGGGCACTTGTGTAATGTAGAATCGTATTGCGGTCTGTGGGTTTAGTATACAAGCTAAATTGAACTTTATTGTCAACTATAGACAATTCCACATCCAAAAAGTGAACTAATTCTGTGCTGATATCAGCCGTCATACGTACTGGTGTGGGAAGCTGATTAATGGATTCCACCATCTGTGAGGCCTGGTTTACTGTACCGCTCCATAATATTAAAATATCATCGATAAAACGGAAATATTTTATGATGTGTTGTCGATACGGTTTGAGTATATATTCCTCCTCAAATATATACATATACGAATTCGCATACATAGGTGCCATAGGAGCACCCATGGAGGTTCCACAGATTTGCATGTACCATTGATCTTCAAAACGGAAATAATTATTCCTTAATACCACCTCAAGTAACTCTAAGGTGTATTCAATAGGTGGACCCTTGTATGAAGTTGAGGCACATAAAACTTGTCTCATAGCCTCTATACCACCATCATGCGGGATGATGGTATAGAGGCTGCTTACATCCATCGTAATAAGAACAGGATCAGGTACATCTATACTGAGTTGTTGTAAGATCGCCAGGAGTGAGGGAGTATCCTTAATGCAGGTATGCAATTGCAATACTGTTTCCTTAAATTGAGCATCCAACCATTTTCCAATCGGTTCTAAGACTCCACCCACCGCTGATACTATGGGCCTTCCAGGGGGTTCAGTCTGATTTTTATGTATTTTAGGTATTGTGTATAAAATAGGAGTCTTAGGAAACTTTTGGATGAAGTATGCATACAGAGTTTGATCAATATAATTCGCTCTCAGGCCCATGATCAATATCTCTTCTATCCTTGCTTGTATTGTACTCGTTGGATCTCCCTCCAACTCTTCATATGTGCTTACATCTCTCAATTGTCTTTTGACTTCTTCAGCATATTTGTCATAATCCATTATGACTATACCCCCGCCCTTATCTGCGGGGCGTATAACTATGGATGAATCTTGTGCTAAGTTTTTTAGAAGTACATGTTGTTTTTTGCTTAAATTGTTATGTGTCACATATGGCCGCTTCAATACTTCCGCTGATTCCGATTGAACAGTTGACAAAAAGGTTTTAATACTTGCTCGATTATTTGGCGGATCAAAATTGGATCTTGGTTTGAACCGTGTTGATACTTCACTCCTATTAGATTGATATGTTAGAGGTTTGTTAAAGTGATCTCTCAGACGCATAATTCTTCCAAAATTAAATAATTCCACATTCCAAGTAAAACCATTCGGATTGGTCTCCGGTACAAAGGACAATCCCAGTTTAAGGATATCAATCTCCTCCTTATGCAATACTCGATGTGACAAATTGAATACGGGTACTACCGTCTCAATGGTGGTCTCCCTCGGGAGTAGGTTCTTCCCCTTATGCCCTCTCCTTGTTCTATGCCGTTTGTGCCTCTGCCTCTGCTTCTCGTGGTAGTGCCGATTACTGTGGTCTCTAAAAAAGCTCCTCCTTCACCTTGTATATCCGTATCAGATGCTGACTCCCCAGACGTAACATCTATCGTGTAAGCTTTAGGACGCACGATTCTCTTGCGGGGTCTTCTGGGTCTCTGTTGGTTGGCCCCACTTAACCACTTATAGACACGGTGCTCCAAATAGTCTTGTTGTACATATTCAAATTTTTGTTTCTTGAATTTAATTAGATCATTCTTATATTTCAACATATCCTCTTTTAGCTTATCTAGCATCTTCATGCCCTCCAGGGAAGCCAGCAATATAGCATGTTCTGTTTCAATATCCAATATTTTGCGTGTAACAATTTCCATTTCAGCTTTCACATCCTGAATTATAATAAGCATAAGGTCTAATGATGCTTTATTCAGTACTCCTATCCAATCTCGACAGACCTTAGCTTTTGATCTGCCTATTGTAGGTATGTTCATAATACGGAACCCCCTGGGGATCCTTTTCACTTTATAATAGTCAGAGAGGAACAGTCCGTGTAAATCCAAATCTATTCGCTTCCTCTGTAGCTTTAAGAGTTGGAAATACAAATCTTTAGTGGTTACGCTACATGGGAATTCTGTACTGGATTGTACCCAGAGTATGGCTTGTGCTTCTTCTTGAGTGAAATGGAGGGTTTCTGCTTGCTCAGCATATCCCCCTGCTTGTAGCATAAAATCATCAATATGATCCATGGTGAAAAAAGTTTTTCTCAGATTTAAATCAGCCTCTTTACTCTGCTCTCAAAACAGCAGGCAGGACAATTTATACTTTGCAGGTGCATGGGTTGGAAACTTGGCTATCAATAAAGTTCCCTTTTATATTTCATCCAGTGGTACCCTGCACACACACTTTAAAGTATTAGAAAATGCCGGGTGCATAAAAAAGCCATAGCCAAAAATTACAAAAATTATATAGGAAATAAGGCTTGCACTCACGGTCTGTAGTAATGATAAAATATTTCTTCTTTATTAGAATATTCTTAAAACATGTCTGTTATCATCGACGTTTCAGCCATCGTTCGTGGCTTTCATCAGGATCAGTTCAGTACAAATAATACATTTACAAACATCAGCATTTAAATAGCTAAACAGACTAATTATTAAATCTAAAAAACACTCACCACCTGTGTTACCGATCGCCCGGCGTCTCTCGCCATGTTGTGCGCATGCGCGAACACGCCGACACCCGGAAGTGGCGTGCTCGCGTCATCATCTGTTGCCTGGGTTACCCGCTATGTTTATGTGCCTCAACTTCATACAAGGGTCCACCTATTGAATACACCTTAGAGTTACTTGAGGTGGTATTAAGGAATAATTATTTCCGTTTTGAAGATCAATGGTACATGCAAATCTCTGGAACCTCCATGGGTGCTCCTATGGCACCTATGTATGCGAATTCGTATATGTATATATTTGAGGAGGAATATATACTCAAACCGTATCGACAACACATCATAAAATATTTCCGTTTTATCGATGATATTTTAATATTATGGAGCGGTACAGTAAACCAGGCCTCACAGATGGTGGAATCCATTAATCAGCTTCCCACACCAGTACGTATGACGGCTGATATCAGCACAGAATTAGTTCACTTTTTGGATGTGGAATTGTCTATAGTTGACAATAAAGTTCAATTTAGCTTGTATACTAAACCCACAGACCGCAATACGATTCTACATTACACAAGTGCCCATCCGAGAAATTTAAAGAATTCTATTCCACAGGCCCAATTTCTTAGAGTTATGAGAAATAACTCGAATGAAAGTGTGAAACAACAACAACTAAAGCAAATGCAAGAAAGATTTTTGGAACGGGGGTATGGGTTAAGAGTTTTGGAGAGAGCATTGGAAAAAGCATATGTAAAAGCAACCAAGCCCCAAAATCCCATCAAGAGGCCAGCGTTGGTCTTCCCTATTACATTCCATAATCAAGCACATAAAGTTTCGAATATAGTTAAGAAGAATTGGAACATGTTGGCAATGGAACACACTTTACCCAGCGAATTTAGAGAGCCTCCAATGATATGTTTCCGGAGGAATAAGAATTTAAAGGACATATTAATGAAAACCGACCCAGTAGATAGTTATGCCAGACAACAGAACCTGCAAGTACGTGGATGTGTTCGTTGCTTGGGATGCGTTACGTGCGGACATATGGTGTCTGCACGAACATTCACCCATCCACATAAGAATAAGAGTTACAAGATAAGATATACAATTACTTGTAAATCCATGTTTGTTATATACAAGTTATCATGTCCTTGTGGCTTGTGTTATATTGGCAAGACAGAGACTCAACTTTGTGAAAGGATTAGACAACATAGGTCGAATATCAGAATTGCGGTCAGGGATGGAACTTCAGACAAGCCTGTGGCCAAGCACTTTTTGGACCATAAACATCCTTTGGCTACATTAAAATTTGTAGCAATAGACCACATACCAGTACCTAGAAGAGGTGGTAACAGAGGAAATACCCTATTACGGAGGGAAACATTCTGGATCCATGAATTGGATACAGTGGCACCCCGGGGTTTAAATGAAATGTTAACCTATACCCCTTTTGTTTGAGTGATGGTGTAATACAATGAAGCTTTCTTGAGTTTAGAAATGTTTTAGTAATTTGAACATCCACAGGTATTATATGTTTTAAGGGTATTATATGTTTTAAGGGAATTTGGTAACTTGTTATCTATCCTCAATTAGAGATACGTTATACTTATCTATAGATTCACGGTAATTATGACATGTATATAAGGTGAACATCGATGTATATCAATTACACATATTTATTATGTTATACATATGAGCACCACCGTCACTGGTACTAATTAATATTGATAAGGATTTTAATATACACAGTATGCACTTTAACTGTACATAGGAGCAATGAGTATCACTTTATACATTAATCTATGCACTTTACAGTAAACACATAGGTCACTGTAATGTTTAGTACATATTAGCACTCAGCATTGAGCAGTATGTATATATATTATACATATTGCCATTTGTGTTATCACACACTTCACTGTAAATATAGAGACAAAACATTTTTACCTGCTATGAGTATCACTTTAAGACTTTTGTTCACTTTAGTACAGCATTATGCACTTTGTTGTACATAATAGCACTGAGTATCACTTTGAATGACATAGCGGCACTGTTGTATATAATTGCACTTGGCACTTTTTTGTACATAATATTCCTTTAAGTGTAGAGATAGTACTTTAATATATACTTATGTGGCAATTTATTGTCATTATAATATTTGAGTAGGCTTTCAGCTATAATTGTATCTATATTAGTGTAGATGGATATAGTTAATATCCATATGCTTTGTTTAGGTGATAGATAAGGTACCTCTATATATTGTAGCCCTTTAATTATACTTCAATTATACTAGACATTGAAATTATGCACTGTAATTATCTTATTAGGAGGTGTGCCTAAATTATGCCTTGACATGT